TGACATTACTCTTTCTCATTATGTGAAGAGTAATTAGTCGCTGCTCACAACAGAAAAGGGGGGTATGGCTGAGAATCTTCTCATACACTAGCGAAGGAGCAATATTCCTTTTGGTTCATTTGGGGGGAAACCCAGCCCGCATCGAGCAAGAGCGAACTGCATGGAAGTGTACCCATCCCTATTACCTGGCCATTGATACACCCAAGTGGGTAGCTCTCATGGAAGACCTTGGGTGGAGGGGACACAAACGGGTCTACGTGTGCATCCAAATTTATGTCATATTAATTTGTTTACTCGAGACAGCGCACGGACCTGGCCAGCACCTTGTGTCATGATGGAGTATACAAAGCTTGCCAAACACCGGGGGAGAGTGAGAGAGAGAGAACAGCGAGAGTGAGAGAGAGAGAACAGCAAGAGTGAGAGAGAGAGAACAGCGACAGAGAGTGAGAGAGAACAGCGAGAGAGAGAGAACAGAGAGAGGGAGAGAAAGAGAACCGGGGGGGGCACATCCAAGGTTGACTCCGAAAACTCGCTGCTGCGCCCGTAGCTAATTTGTCAGTTGACTGTTGAAGCTCACTGTTGCGTGAACTCGCTGAACTATCGATTGGCTGTTGAAACTCACTCTTGCTTGAACTTGCTGAGTTACTAGCCAGTTATTGAAACTCACCGTTGCGTGAACTCGCTGAACTGTTGATTAGCTGTTAAACTAGTCGGCTGTTGAAACTTACGGTTGTGTGAACTTGTGGTATTATCAGTTGACCGTCGAAACCCCTTGCTGTGTGAAGTTGCTAAATTACAAAAAAAAAGAAAAAGAAAATTGGAAGCGTGATAGGACGCCGCAAGTTTCGATTCCTGGTGGTCGCCCAGGACCTCGGAAGCGGGCGCGGCGGGTGACAGACGTCGTTGCCCTTGGCTTCGGCGAACGGTAGGCGCCCCTCCCCGGGTTTTCTCACAACTGGGCCCCCTCGATTGCGTCGAGCTTGATTGTTGCAGGCTCCGCCATGTAATCGTCGTCTCTCGGGTGGACAGTCCGGCTCGGAGGAACTACTAAGGTCATTGGTCAATGACCGAGGCACCCCGGGGTGGCTGGCGGAAGCGGAAAGGTCCTGCGAGGATGGGGGGTCTGGATGCGGGATATGGTACTCCTCCCACTCCTCCTCCTCCTTCTGGTGCTGACGAGCCGGCTCCATCGAGGTTGATGTCAGGAAGGAGCGGTGGCAATGGTGTCGGCTCCGGATGGCTCCCGCGTATCCACAATCTGCTTGTCCCAACTCTCTCTCCCGACGGAGGTCCCTCAATCGGTGTAGTCTTGCTTTGTGGAATGGGATCGGAACTTCGCGTTGGCACGGGATGGAGTCGCTGGACCACTTCGTCCCCGCGTCCCACTCGGCTTCCTTGTGCCTCCGGTGATGGCTGACGATGTCTCTTCTTGGGCGCCTTCCTATGGGTCTTCGGGGCTACTGGTTTGGGATAGGACGAGGGAGGCCACAACGACTTCCCGTCGTTGAAGTCCACCACCCTCTCCCTCGCCTGCGCAAGGTAATCTGGTACGACGACCGCGTGGTACATCCTCCGCGGAGCCGAGGGTGTGCGCAGCCGGAGTTGGAAATGTGTCTCCTCGCTGGCCATCACCTGGGCGATGGACAATAGCTCAATGCGGATGAGCTCCAACAGACCCGGCCTGTTTGTTCCGATCTTTCCGAGTGAATACAGCGCCACCGTCCCCTCCTTCTGCTCAGGCTCGGGTCTCGTAATCACGTAGTACATGAGAAAATGCTCGCCGATATTGTGGTCGTCGTGCACCACGCAAAGCCGGAACATGCCCAGCAGCACCGACCGGTACAACGCTCGATGCAGCTCCCACGCGTCTTCGTCAGCGAACGGCAACGGCTCCACGTCAGTTAGTTCCACCAGATATTATGAGAAATGGCGCATGGGATAGGGACTCTCCATAAGCTGGTAGGGAAGGGTGGTGTAAGAGAAGAAGGGAGGCATTTAGTATGAGGGAGGGGGAATGGCTTGGATATTGAGGGGTTCAGCGGGAGGAAAAAGTGCAGGAAACTGGGGCACGAATGTTAGTGGGTTGTCCGGCGCCCGTCGCAGCAGCGAATCATGAGTCGTGAAGCGATGGGCACCCTGTCCCTGCGTCCGTGTCACCGATCTCTCCACCTGTACTACGTATTCCTGCAGAAAAGTCCGCACCGGCTCCCGATGCCACTCCGCCAAGATCGTAATGCCATCGATGAAGGTGGCGACGTTGTGCACAAAGTTGGTCGCCACTCGAAGCGCGCGAAACTCAATTAATACATGTGTCGTCTCCCGATCAGGCAGTTGCATCATGTCCCCATATACCCCCTTATACGTCACCCAATCACACAGGAGCAAATACGTAGCGAGATCCGCAATTCTAGGCCCTGGTATGTTCACTTGTTGGACGTCGTACCGCAGTTGCCGATCGTCATTAAAATGATGCCTCAATAAATGGTCCGCGATTGGCGCCTGTAAGTGTTCGATCGGCTCATACTCCTGCTGGTGATGGATCATCCTGTCCGATTGAGCTCTCAACACGAAAGGGCGATGCGGATTGGAGAGAGGAAGAAGAAGCAAAGGAGGACGAGGAGGAGGACCAAGGCCTCGACGGACTACGAGGGTTCTGACCCTGAAAACGAGACGCCGTAGTGGCCTCATGCCTGAAACATACAGACGCCGGCCCCATACCGAACCAGAAATATGCCACTGCAGAGGCTGGAGGCCTGAAGATAAATCACCGCGGAGGTTCTGAACCTGAAATAGATCGTCACAGTGCTCCCGGACCTGAGAATAAATCACCACAGAGGTCCCGAACCTGAAATAGATC